AATAGTTTGGATTATTTATTCTCGACAATTTTTCCTACTTTTAAAAGCTTTTAATTATCTATCCAAATACAGCTAAATATCTAAATATGTGTGTCACCATTGTACTTTTTGTATACAACTAGCTGGTTCTCATCCCACCATCTATGTGCTTCCTTCACTGTGAATCTTTTCCGGCTGCAGAAAAAACCCACCAGAAAAGATCATCAGAAGCATGATAATGATAGAGTTTGAGCTGAGACACAAGTCATAAATCTAAAGAACTAGGTAGGTCTGCCATGCCCGGAAAAGTTTTACCTAAACCGAAGTTGCTTGATCATCCTCTCCCCGTTTTGCAATGATTTAAGGGTGATGTAGATGCCAGGTTTATATCGTTCCACCCATTCATGACCACCTTGTCCCATTTCTGATTCGGTTTGGCACGATTCATCTCCTGATAGAGACTGTCGAGTGTCGTCCTTGTTACACAAAGATCTTGAGAAAATAATAGGAGAAGTACATAGACTATCGGCTTTTCTTGCATTGATTCGCAATGTCTTAGGGAGATTGCAAGGATCATCTGCAATAGAATGTGCACTATCCTTTTCGTTTGTTTCTCTTCCCACGGATTGATTCTTTGACGTGGCATGAAGCTGCAAGATATGAATTGAAAATTACAGATAGATTGGTATAGTTTCACATCTAAGCAGCTATCATGGTCATGGCACCCAACAATATATTGCTCTGTATCATTGTCATTAAATAAGAGACAGTTCCACATTTGCAAAAAAAAAAAACCTTTTTTTTGTTTGAATTCATTCGCCATTGATTCATTTATGTAGAAAAAGTTTACCTTTGATGTCAAAGCTTTTATAACTTCCTGAGCTGCTTCTCTCCTGGCTGCTTCTGCTTTTACAACCAGCCAAACTTCCTCAAGTTTTTGCTGGCATTCTTGAATTTTCTTGTTTCTCAATCGACACTTCTTTTTTAGACTCTCAACCTATTTTTTAGTACAAGAAAAGCGCAATAAATATCCCAATTTGATAAAAGTTCAGTGCGTATGAGCAATACGCACCAAGTCAAAACTGAAAGATCATATTTCAATTTTAATTTTGTAGATGAAAATGTTGGAAACATTCACATTCGGTAAAAAAATTGATACTCAAAAAAGCAGAGTAGAAAGACTTTGCCTGGTTTCTTAGTTTCTGAATTTCTTCAAGACGCAAATAATCCAATTTTGAGCAGTCTGGTGGCGTCATAGCAGAACCTACTCGTTCCTTTGCAGTTGTATCGACTGTTTCGTGTTCTGTTAGATAACTTTTAAACCTTTGAGGACAAGGAACTTGCCCCCATCGTGCGAAATCCAGCCAAGAAGAAATCAAATTCTGATTCTTTTCGTCTTGGTGATTTCGTGCCTTCTTCTCAGTCAATTGACTACCGCTCATACTAAAAAATTTCCTTCTAGGGGTCATTCTACACGTAGTACTACTCACTTGATCCCTTTCATCATTTTCCTCCATATGACTAATCATTGAATGTGGTCTGGGGCTATAAATGTCATGCTCTAAAAATGTAGTCCCTAACTGAGCAGTCCTCCGAAGTTGGTTGAAACATGGGTCACATACTCGAAGAGGTTTAGTTTTATTCCCTGGTAGGGACCCATTTGCACTTGTTTTCCTGCCGCAAGCGCGACATAACAATACTCCACAGTTGTAGCAATTATGCTTCTTCCTTGTGATGCCAAAAGCCAAGTTGCAGCCTTTGCATGTAGATTGATCATTATTGGTGGACATGGACTTGGGCAAGCAAAGGGCAGCTGTGGAATTTGGTCCACAAAAAATGTGTTCAACGTGTCGATTTTCTAGGGCATCTACCAAAGTTGGAGAGCTTCTGTCTTTCCTATCACCCGTTCCCAACTGCCCGTTCATACCTCTTCCCCATGAATAGACATTACCCTTTGATGTTAGGACAGCAACATGATAACATCCTGCAGAAATTTCTCTAACAAACTCATCCTTAAGTTCCCCTTGTACATTCTTTATTGGTACATCATCATCATCTTTTCCTTGTGGACATCCCATTGTATAAACCTTTCCTGTGGAAGACAGCACGACCGTGAAATCTGCGCCGCAAGAAACTTGATAAAAATCTTGTTCCACCAGCTTTGCAACGCAAGCAGGCACAAGTTTCTTCTCATGATCGGAATGACCAAGCCTGCCTTTATCACCATGACCCCATGTGAAAAGTTTCCCTACCAGCTTGCTGGGCTCAAACTGATTATTAGCTATTATTTCAACAATGGCAGCTGTATGCCATGATCCACATGAGACATACTTTACCCTTAAGCCCTCAAGGGATTCAACTTGTTTTGGGTGAGGAAGGGTTTTGGTGTTTCCATGACCGAGGGCCCCAAACACTCCATCTCCGTAGGTAAACAGTTGCCCGGATATTGAGAGTATAGCAGTATGCCATTCTCCACAAGAAACAGATGATATTTTAATGCCATCCAGACCGTCCGAAACTTTATGTGGCAACCAATAGCTTCTCTTTCTATTGTCGCTCTGAGAATCGGCACTAGAAATGTCATCACCCCATTTATAGAGTTCACCGGTAGCAGTCAGAGCATATGTTTGGTATTCACTACAAGACACAGATTTCACATGAATTCCTTCAAGGGATTCAACAACTCTTGGGTAGGGAGAATCGGAATCAACTTTATGCCCCAATCGTCCATGCTTTCCTTCACCCCAGGAGAAAACATCCCCATGTTTGGTAGCAAAGAAAGCATGACTTCGACCTAAGGATAACATCTGTACGTCGTCAAACATGACATTGGAATCAAGAAACTTGGGTGACAATGCATCTAACTTTCTCCCCCCTACCCCTAAAAAATCTCCTTCTATTCCTTCTCCCCAAATGAAAACATCTCTGGGCACATTATTGGCTGGTTGTGCATACTCAAAGAGGGATGTCTCTAGCAAATTAAGCATACCAGCTTGATTCTCTGCAAGGCCAGAATCTAATGCCCTCTTGTTTAAATAAAATGGTTGGACATATGGAGAATTCGAGTTCACAGAATCCATTCCATTATTCATACTTGATGTACTTGGTTCAGAAAAGCTGTCCGAAGAATGTGATAAGCCATCTGAATATCCCTTCTCTGAAAATAACTGATAGGGGCTTCCTACCCAGCTCTGTACCTTCAATAAATAAATAAATAAAGTGTATGTAATTCTCAGGAAAATGGAAAGGATGGAAACTTAGGGACAAGCATCAAAATTGTAGAGAAAACATGAGGTATTCTACGTTTAATTCTGTTTTGATCCAGAAGTGACAGCAAGTCACTTGGTGAATTTAAACAAGGTAATGAAAAGTACATACAAAAAAGAAAATTGGTCATATGGAGAAAGACTTGCTTTCTACGCGATATGATCTTCATAGAAAAGAGTCAAGTTTAAGCTCCATATAAGTTCTTCCAGCATCCTAAGTGCCAATGCTCTCAATTTTTTATTTATTTACTTTGTATGTATTTATTTTCACTTCTTTATAATTTTATAGGGGGGAGGGGAGGGGGTTCTGGGCAAAGGGTAAAACCTGAGATAGTTTTGTCATAGTCATCCGATAAGCTCTGAAGTTATGTCTCCTTTGAGTATTTCTAACTGGACTGCTAATGCAACTTTGAACTCCAGTTCCGGATAATTGTCTATGGCAGCTCTCAAGACAAGAAAAAACCACGACTCAACTTGAATTATGTCCTCGCATATCTATATATTAAAAGTGAGAAAGGAAGACATTAATGTTAACAAGATTAACATAATTGGGGAAATGAAAACATCTTCCAAGATGCATCCTTCAACGAATGGCCCGATTTGAATTTTAAAAGAATTACCCGATTTGCATAGACAAGTGAAATGCACTGACTCTCTCTTTCTGATTTTAGCTGCCTCTGAGGATTAACCTTAATAGACAAACACAAAATCCTCATGAATATACAGAAATTCAAAAAAAGGGTTGGCCATAGACTTTTTGAATATGTAGCAGTTACAGGTAAATGAGGATAAAAGCTTCACTTGTTACACCATTTTGTCCATGAATCATGAATCATATTAATTACTGAAGTATACCATACATGTTCATGTACCAAATCAACAGCTTCTCATCCTGCAGTTCATGTTCACTTAGTCATTAACTTTTACCTTAGCAAATGCATGGTTAAGCCCAAAAAAAAACAATGACTTTGTGATTCTGGAGCAAAGAACAAAAGAATCAAATTGATCGGCGTTAACTATATAACATTAGTACATTATGCACCTTCAATCTCAGTAATAAACAAAAGATATTTAAAAAAAAAGATGTTCTGGTATTAACATCAAGAGTAAAAAAAATGGAAGTAAAATGTGTGTGTTTGGGAGTGTTCAAATGAGAATATAATAATACCTCAGAATAGTCATGAGAATCAATACAATGTATGGGATGATCTAAGAGTTCTACATATTTTCCATATTTTTACATAACATGTTTCCCAAACAAAAAAAAAACTTGTTTGCAAGTGAAAATAAAACTAAAGAGGGACCCTATTTTCCCATTAGGCCTATAGCCAATAAAATGTCAGATTAAGACTCCATGCTAAACGTAAAGGAATTTTACCTAAATAATATTAAAACATAGTGGTTTTCCCAAAGTAGTACCATATGTAGTACCTCTGGTCAGGAGTAAATGTCCACTGCCACTAGAAATTATTCAAACTAAATGTCCAACATTATTTAAATATTATTTAAAAAATAAAAAAGTTCAAATACTACATTGGAAAATAACATATGTCTTAGTATTATTTAGCTACAAACTCTACATTGGAGTACAATATAAGCTTTAAAGAAGGTGTGTGTAATATGGCCATGGAGTGAGAATAAAAACCATTTTCAGAAGCTACAGCCTTGGAAGAGGGGAAGACAAGAGTAGAAGAACAAGGGTTTGGTTTCCAGGCAAGGGAACCTTATAATTCGTCCAACCAAAAAGAAAAAGCATTTCAAGGGTTATAAAGAGAAAGGGAGAAACAGAGAAGAACTCACAAGATTCTCCTTTTTCTTCTCTTTCAATTCGATAGGTTGTTGAGAGAGATTCTTCTATACTTCAATGAAATGGGAACCGTGGAATGAGACTGATCCCCTGCAGTACTGCACGCATGTTTTGAGCTTTTCCTTCTTTTTTGGGTATCGAGCATCATTACCTCCATACTTTGCGCGATTTTCTGATTTATGTGAGGAAACTAACCAAATTTGAAATAGGTCTAATTTGGCAATAGGACAATGCTAGAGGTACATTTTTCGTCTATCCCATTTGTTCCACACTTCTTTTTCCACCACTTTTTTTTTATTTTATTTTTATTTATTTAATTTTTTTTAGTCTCTTGCCCATTTTTGTGGTAATGGAGGAAGTGGGGGACAGGTGTACCCCTAGCATTTTTCTTGGCAATAACATTCTCTATTTAGTCTTGATGTTTCTTGTAAAATTTAAAATATATGGAATAATTTTGAAAATGTTAAATTCAAATGCTTATGTTTGATAGTTTTCAAAAATATTGAATTTGTTTCCAAACACTCCCATTGTATAATTCTGATTTTAGAATATGAAAAGTTATTAATAAAATATTCACATAAAACTAAAACATAAATTTATGCATGGTATCAAAATAAGATGTCTAATCTTTTATCGCCGAAATAGAAGTATTAGCATTGCGAAATGTTTGGTACTGTACGTTGACATTTCATAATTATTAATTGTTGGGATTGTGTGTACCTTATCTCACCTCTGCACTGGTATAATATTGTTCGTTATGGCCAAACTTTTACCTTCGAAAAGGCCACAATACTAAAATAATTGGGTTGAACCTTATTTAGAGGTGGCAATCGGGTAAACTGAATCGGTTTCTGATTGGATTTTTTCGGTTCGGATATATGTTATAATCAGTCTGGTTCGGTTCAGATCAGTTTAATTTCGGTTCGGATTTGATTTGGTTCTGTACTTTTTTAGTTTCGAGTCGGTTCAGATACGGTATGGATAGATTTTGGTTCGAATACAATTTGAATCGGATATATTTCAGTTTCAGATATGTTTTAGTTCAGATATATTTCAATCAAATATATTTTGGAAATATATATTATTTTCTAATTAAAATTTAATTATCCAAGATTCTTTTTATATTTTATCACATTTATCAATCTATCATCAATTCAACACATCATGTTATTCTATATTTTTTTTAATTATATTATCTCTACACTAAATAATCTTTCTTTTTGACTTTTTAGTCATATTTTACAAATTTGGACTACAAATTATGAAAAAATATATATTTAATTATGATATAAATTGAATATAATTAAATTGATTTTAAAATTTATTTTGATATATCAATTTTTTCTCACGTCTACTAATATATTTATGTTTAAAAATGCAAAGATAAAAGATAAATTCAAATAGTGTTACGCTCTAACTGAATATAATTTGGTAAAAGTTGAGTGAAATTGGGAAAATGAATTCTATTTATTTGAGTGCAAAATTTATAAATTATTTGAGTGTATTTGGTTGAAACAACATAAAATTAAATTTAATGGAATCAAATATATCTAATTTTACACCAAAATGTAATGGTGTAGGTCAAATTTGAAAATGATAACACTAGACGCTGTCGCTAGACAGCCTTTTCAAAACGCTAACACTAACATTTAATGTTATTGAATAATATTGAGTGAATTGGTTTGAAATTAATCAAATTAACTCCGAAATTAATAAAATTTATTGTAATAGGATGAAATTAAGATAAAATCTAGTTATTCTATACAATTCATCAAATAATTCCTTTGTCCCAAAAAGAATATCACATTTTATTATTTAAAAATTACAGAATTTTTATGTGTTTGTGCGTTATCATTGATTACTTGATAAAAGAAACTACTATTATTCTTGTAACCTTTTACTTTGCAAAACTTTTGACGTATTCTTTTTAAATATGTAAGCATTCTTTTATTTCTATACCAATCTTCAAATAAAACAAATTTAAAAAACTTAGAATTTTGTTTTACTTTGCGTTGTGTAGCATTCTTTCTGACATAGAGGGAGTTTTTTTCTTCGAAAGAAGACTATTTTATGTCTAATCTTCCCCCCCTAAAGCTCAAAGTTTCCCATTCCTTTTCACTTTCCCTCCTTAATTTTATCGTTTTTCTTATGCCAACATTCAACTCATTTCTCAATTCTCACCCACCTTCAAGTTCTATTTTGTCAAGCCTAACCTTATTGATTCATATATTGGGCCTGGAACCCGAGCCTGTATCTTCAAAGCGCTCATGTTCTATTGCCAATTAAGGATTAAATACACTGATCCAAATTTTGAGACCAAACACGGCCGTACTACATTCCTAATATTTTAAACCCTGGCTTGGCCCATACAAAAATTAACGGGCTACAAGCCAACCCGATCCGCTAAGTTAAAAATCTACTACTATAAATAAGGAAGTTTCTATGGTGGATTTAAGGTCACCATGAACCTATATATGAGTAAAATAAGCATATCTTTATTATGTTGATAAGCATTTATTTTTTATTAGAAAAATATAAAAAATATTTTTAATGTAAAAAGGTCCACAAAAGTAGTATGCACCCAAGATGCACCATAGAAGCACTCTTTAAATAATCATTCCATAAAATAAATGGAGAACTCTGAAGTACTACGTATTAATCATGTAACCCATAAGTAAAAACGATATACTCCGTCCCAGTGTATTTATCCAGTTTGACTTTTTCAAGTCAAACTGGATAGGCTTTGAGCTTCAATTACTCTCAATTTATATTGCATATTAGCATAATGAAATATAATTTTTAAAGTTCTCAATACGATAAATCTAATAAAATCATTTTTATATTAAAATACATTACGATTTTTATTTAATTGAAGCTCAAAATTTGTCTAATTTGACTCAAAAAAGTCAAACTAGACAAATACACTAGGACGGAGGTAGTAATTCTTAAAGTACGGAAGACTTATAAATCAAAGTGGGTAAGGAGAGAGGGAAAGTGATAAGGAGAGAATTGGAGATATAAAATTCATCCATCCACATTCCTTCATATAAATTCATCCATCCACATCAATTGCACATTATATATCTTTAAATGCCTTACTCAAGGTGACCATTGGGTCGGTTCGGTTGATTTCGCTTGAAAACCGAACTAATCAAGCTTTTTTTGGACAATAGAAACCGACCAAAGTCTAACCGATGTTTGATAAAATCGAAGAAACCGAAAACTGATTTAACCGGCCGATTATGTTAAGTTTATCAAAACTGATAATTACCTCAAAAAAACCACATTACTCCCAACTGATTTCAAAATTTAACATGTAAGGCTCTGTTTCGTTCAACTTATTTTTTCTGATCTGATCTGATTTTTTGGATCTGATCTGATTAGATCTGATCTGATTTGATCGGATTGGATCTGATCTGATCTGATTGGATCTGATATGATTTAGTCTGATCTGATTAATTATGATTTGATTTAAAATCCAAATCAATAATTTGATTTGAGTTTATAATAACGTTTGAAAATTGTAATGATAATTCATATTATAATATAATCAATATTTTTTATTTTATAATTCTTTTTTAATAAAATAAAATTAGTTAATTTATATATTAGAATAATCATTCATATTTTAATGTAATACTCCCAGACACTATTCACAGGGTCAAACTTTACTCACTTTGTTTGCTTAATTTTACTAGTCATTTCATAAAATAATATAGTCTTGTCACCTCTAGTTTTGTAGAACTTTTCTTGTAGTTTATTACTATATAAATTTTATTTTAAAATTTTACTCCTATAATCAATTAAATTGAATTGAAAATAAAGTCGGTCAAGCCTCGTAACGCGTAATGGGAAGATCTTAGGTGGACGGAGGGAGTAATATTTTTTATTTTATGATTATTGTTTGTGAAATAAGAATATTGATTTAATATTTTAATAATTAGTTCATACATACATTAGAATAAATATTTAATTTATATAAAATCAATACAGAGAAGAGATAGTATTTTTATTAAAATATCTCATCCTTATAAAAGATCAAAACTTTAGAAACTCAAATTACAGGTAGCAATAAAAATGTATTTTAAAAGTAGAATTAGATTGACATTGTTAATGTATTTTAAAAATAATTTTTTCGACGTCTAATAATTAAGGATTAATTTCTCGGTTTTCTATTTAACTTGTTTCTAAAGTTTATTCCTTTTCATTTTTAAGAAGAAGAAGAAGAAGAAGAAGAAGAAGAAGAAGAATAATAATAATAATAATAATAATAATAATAATAAGAACAACAACAACAACAATAATAATTCTTTATGAGATCTGATCTGATCTGGTCTGATTGGATCTGATCTGATCTGATGAGATCTGGCCTGATCTGATTGGATTTGATCTGATCTGATTTGTTCTGATCTGATTCGATCTGGTCTGGTCTGGTCTGATCTGATCTGATTTTAATAAAAATAAGAAAAATTAAGAAAAAATAAGTTGAACGGAACAGGGCCTAAGTCATATTAAAAATACTCCTAAAAAATAAAAGTAAAGCAAAAAACCATATTCCTAAAAAACAAGTATTTAAATATTGAAAAAAAATACTATAACAGTATAACAGAAAGCAAATTAGAAAACGGAATGGAAATTGAGAATTGTCAAAATGCCCTGGCGTCTAATAATTTGAAATATGATTATTGAGTATGACTAGACCTGGCAATCGGGTCAATCGGTTCGGGTCCGGATCGGGTCTTTTCGGTTCGGGTCTCTTTCGGATATATGTTATAATCGGTTCAGGTCGGTTCAGGTCGGGTCAGTTCGGTTCCGGGTTTATTTCGGTTTGACTGGTTTTCGGTTTCGGTTCGGTTTTGGTTCGGGTTTATATCGGTTCGGGTCTGTATCGGTTCGGGTTTGTATCGGTTCGGGTTTGTATCGGTTCGGGTTTGTATCGGTTTGGGTTTGTATCAGTTCGGCTTTGTATTGATTTGAGTTTATATCGGTTTAAATTTATATTAGTTCAAATATAATGTAAACACATACTAATAAATGAATAATATTT